TGTGCCTCAAAGTGATTTCCTGAGCCTCCTGAAGTCAATGATGAAACTCATGGCTTCGTTGGAACAGTTAATCAAGTATGTCTCTTGTTTTCTATAGCTTCATAACAAGAGTTGTAGTTCCCCTTCAGGAATAAAGGCCTCTTGGGACAAGGTACCATGTAGAGCATGGTTCTGTAATCATGCTGCTGGCCTGATGGCTTTGGATTTTCCCACAACTGCATCTCTTTGTACAGAGGATAGGTCCTCCTGTAGTGCTTCCAAAGTTCCATCTTCCCTTGTAGCATAACTAACTCAAGGGTTATGTTATCACCTATTATCATAGCACCCTCAGGACTCATTATATCACCAACTGTTGGTTTGCCCTGAGGTGATGCCACTTCACGAGATTATTTCCTCTCCCTAAAAATCAACACATTTCCAAACATGTCTAGGAGAAACATGGATGTTGACTGAGATGAAATAATAGAGGTGGTGTCTTGAAGTTATGCAGTGCCTGCTTACACCCTGTTTGCCAAAATTTATGCTTTGGTCTCTTACTTGTCTGTACTTTGTTGCATCAGAAACCTAGTTTGGGTTTTATTGGTCTTTTTGTAAATAACTAATTTGTTCTTAGAACCTATGGAACTCTTTGCCAGGGGAAGTTGTGAAGGCCAAAGTTATAACTGTGTTCAGTTTGATAAATTCATGGAGGATATGTACATCAGTAGCTATTGGCCAAGATGTTAAGGGGTGCAACACCATATTTTGGGTGTCCCTAAGGTTTTGATGTCCAGAAACTGTCTGGACAATGTGATGGATCACTGGATAATTGCTCTGTTCTGTTCATTCCCTCTGAAGCATCTGGCATTGGCCGCTGTCAGAGAGGATACTAGGGTAGATAGGCTACACTGGGTCAGACCAGTGGTCCTTCTCATGTTCTTTCACTCTTCTATCCTGAACCACCATTTTATGTACAAATTATATAGATTTTTCTAACAGGAAAAAGGAAGGACAACAGAGGCAGAGTGAGTCAGGTCTTTGGCCTGCTAAACTTGACAATATTAATTTAAACAGTTAAGAATTGTGAAAAGTTTACACTGTTGTCAGATTCTCTCATGACTAGGGATGTAAAATTCCATTTAACCAGCTAAGCAGTTAAACATTATGTTTAACCAATTAACTGCTTTAAATGGAAGTGGGCAGCAGGCCGGCCTGGCTGGAGCATCCTCTGCCCACGGCACAGCTGCTATGCCTGCTCTGGAGCATCCTTTGCCAAGAGCATCATGACACCATTGTGACGCCATCACCTTCAACTCTCTTAAAAGTTGATTCGTTTTTTTTTTTTCTCCTGTTACTATGTGAAATAGTCCCCTGAATAAAGGGAACTGACTGATTGTATTGTTAGGCTCTTAAAGTAGTTAACCTGATAATTTTTTTAAAGGTATTGCCGTGTGCTTGGTACTCCTGAAAATGAAGTCACTCCATATTTTGGTATCTAAATCCATTAATTTTCAACTTTAGATATGCACTTTTGAAAACCATGGCTGTGACTTTTATACTATAACTTGTAAGCAGAGGCTCTTAAGGCTCTGTTTATTATTTTCAGCCATTAGAATTGCTTTGTACTTGCTGTTAATTTTTGAAACCATTACGGATAGAGGCATACCTAACTTCTGCATCCCTCTGTTGTTGGACAAGCATTCTTGGGTATGTCTACACTTTATGTAGTTTTGCCGTAGCAAGTGAAAATGTGAACACTGCTTTGTGGGCAGGAGTGCTCTTCTGCTGACAAAGTGAAACCCGCTCATTGGAGGTGAAGTATTGTGTTGGCAAAAGTGCCTACAAACAGCATTCACGCTTGATGACTTTTAGCAATAAGGTCGTAGACATAGTCTTGTTGCTACAAGCTGCGTAGTGTAGACATACTCCATAATTTCATTTTGAACTCAACAAACTGAGCAAAGTTTCTAGACTTTTTTTATTTTCTGCTGTTACCAGGCAGTTAGGTAATGAGTCTGTGACTGGAAGTCATGCTAGAGACTGGATTGCTCTGTAGTAACATGAGGACCAAAGGCCAGCTGACCTTAGTATAACTGCACTCACTTCATTTTAATTATGTGAAATGTATTGGAATACAATCAGTAGTGAAGATCACTCTCAATGCCTTTCTTCTCACAAATCTTTTTTAAAGGGATCAGAAATATATCTACTTTTAGTGAAATCATCTAAATTGTATCTAATCTTATTTAAAAACTTGAGAAGGGAAACTGGGTGGGTGAAGATGCAAGAAAAAGAGGGAGGATTGTCTTGGACCGCACACCCCTTCAGGGATGGTCATGCGTCTTACATCACAAATTTAGGTTTTATCTGTTTTGGAAAACTCTGATTAGAGTTAGTGAAATGATATCACAAAGACTGAAAGCTGAGCAGTTGGCAGGGGTAGGGATTCCTAGTCAGTCTGTGTGGGGTGTTCTTGTAACACCAACTGAATTCCTATGATCAATTAAATTTTGAAGAGCACGTCAGAGTAAAGATTTAATACATATGCTTCTGTTAGTGTGAAAACAACAGTACACCTGCTCTGTTACATTCAGCAGGTACTTCAGCAAAATCAACATTGAGATGACTTGATA